TGCCCTATGTTCTGCACATGAGTTTTAAACATTTTAAATAGGTTCATTTCAACCTATTATCCAAAGTAAATGATGTGAATGATTACAGGGCTGCTTTCCTGTGTGGGTGTTTTTATATTATAGTTAGTTCTGTGTTTGATTTGTTGCTTGCCAGGTTAACATTTGAGGCTAAGGATTCTTGGATGGTACTGTATAGAAATGTGTTGGTTGTATGTAATGTAGTCTGTTGGAGAGGGAATTGCTGTACTTAGCATGTCAGGGCCAAATGTTACTGTTCTGTTATGCTTGAGCTGTAGCTAGTGCCATGCAGTGCTATGGGATAATTGATATTCCTCCTGAAATGTTCCAAAGTCAGTGGCTGGGATAAGGCATATCAGCATATTAATGATGCCTTAGCCCAGAGGTCTGAATGACTTCCTTCAGAAGCTTCATGTATGGGTTAAAAAGCACAGGAGAAAAGATGGAAGCCTAAGGCAAATCACAAAAGCTATGTGATATCATTAGTCCTACCCCAGCCATGCAACCCAAAAAGATGAGATGGCTGATGATTTTAAATTCATAGAATAGTGGGGTTGGAAGGGGCCAAGAAGGCCACTGGGATCAACCCCCTACTAGAGCTGGACACCAAGTGACACCATTTTACTCAGACAACTATCCAGTTTTGCCTTGAATGTCTCTAGTGTGGGAGAGCCCATGACCTTTCTTGGCAACACGTTCCACTGTCATATTGTTCTGACAGTTACGAAGTTTCTCCTTGTGTCTCGCCTGAATCTGGTGTACTACAATTTAAGTTTGTTGTTCCGTGTCCTATGCAAGGGGAAAAGTGAGAAGAGGTCTTTTCCTTCCTCTTTTTGACAGTCTCTGAGGTACTTGCAGAGTGCTACCATATCCTCTTGCAGTCTTCTCACAATTTTGTTCTTCCCATCTGTTTCCCAGTCTAGGTCATCCACTAAGATGACCAAATCAGAACCAGAGTGAAATGGATCCAAATGCTCTATACTATCCAATACCACTTGGAATTGAAAAGCCACTAACTTTTCCCAGTAACTTATTCAAGCACAACGCAAGTGATGCTTGACAATGATTATCCAACACTAAAGGATCCTAATTCAGCTATTTCAATAAGAATCTAAAGTTTATCAATTTAAAAGCAGTAGTATTGCATCTTCCCTCACAGATACCTTTGAAACTTTTGAGGTCTCAGTGTTAAGCCTTAACAGTTTTCATAAGTCAGAACGGGTATGGATACAAAGGACAAATCAGAGGTCTTACTGTTCTGTATATTATCTATATCTGCACATGCTAAAACAACATGACTAGAACAGGGCTAGACAAACATCTAGATTCCAGGATTTGTTTGTTTTGTCAAGAGTCTCAAGATTCACCATCTAGGGTCCATCAAAGAATCTCAAAGGGAAAAGATGGAACCAGTAGCAAAATGGGGGTTCCATTCCATGATAAGTTATATACTAGGGTGGCTACTCTAACTGATACACAATTTATATTTACAATACCATAGATCACAAAGGCTAATTTAAAATGCCAAACATACATTAAAAACCTGGTTGCACTGCTTTAATGTTTTAATACTGATTTGCTCAAAAACAGTAAATTCATTTAACACTCAAATCTTTATCAACTCCATTTCTCATATCCACTCTCTCTACTTAATCTAAGAAGAGGTGTATAATTTATATGTAGATTTTTAAAAATGAACATTTTCTCAACTTCAAGCAAAGTTCATAAGCACATGAAACACCTACATTGTATATTTCTGCATATTTATAATAATTTGATAGATAATTGTTGACTGCTAATCAAAAGTGATTGTCTTAATATTAATCTGCCAGATTAAATCAATGCTTTGACTTCATTATATTCATTGCAGAAAAGTGTATTAATGAAAAACCCAAAAAGTTATATACTAATCAACTTTTCTGAGACATGGATACATTACTGTGTTCATTTAATTACAAAACAAGTTTCAGTAATCCTAGATTTTAATTTCAGGCTTGTCTGAAGGACTAAAAATCTCATTTGCAGCAGAATTTGAAAACTACCAAAAATAAACATTCAATTGTTTATGGAGTATCTTCCACATACCTTAAAATTTCTCCAGTTCTATCTTTTACTTTCTATAACTGTGACCTTCAAACTGGAGTAAGCCCCAATTATGTACATGCTGACTGAGTGAGGCACACTGTTTGTCAACTATGCAGTTCACAAGTAAGGTGAACTACTTGCCTGCATCTCTTTTACTGACCACCCCCCCGCCCCCGCTCAAGCCCTACTTTCTAAGAGAGGTGGTGCTCAGGGCACTGTCAAAGTGCTGCAAAGACCTCAGAGCTTGTTTCTTCCCCATCCTTACTTATCTCAGGATGCTTCTTGTTCATGTGCACAAAAACCCAACTTTGCACAGGCTGAAGTAGTTGAGCTCACCTCCCTGCACAAATAGACCTGTAAAAAGTTCACTTTTATTTTCCTCCTCTCCCACTCCACCCTTACTCCACATGGTACACAGCTACAGCTATTGCTTTCATCACCAGAAATATGTACAGCTACTCTTGATGTCTGCTCCAAAATACACAGTGAAGAATTGTGCACAATCATTACCATTTTCTAGGCATTCCATTCTGTTCCTCCTCTGAAAGGAATCCTCTAGTATAAACAGGAATGAAGCCTTATTTTGCTATCATCATTACATCCTGCAGTAATTGTCTAGCATGGATCTTCCAGGTGATTTGGAGATTAACACTCTCTCCAACGAACTATTCTCCTGGAGGTCCTGTTGTGACTACTTTGCAACAAACGTTGAAGACAAAATTGTTTATCTACACTATGAGCTTTAAACTGTTATTAGAGCAGTTCCAATTAAGACATCTGACACAACCATCTGCCCAATTTTGTGGGATCAATTTCACAGTTGTTGCATTCTAATGATGGGAAAGTGTCAGGATCAATAATGACCAACCACAGCTCTTCCAGGAATACTCTGTGATCTAGTTTTGTTGCTGGAGGCACAAGTAACTGTGACAGCTGAGAGTACCTTCAACCACTTTTGGATGGTGCACCAGGCAGAGTCTGCCCATGTAAAAGATAGCCTGAGCATAGAGGTACAGGTGTTATCAGCCTCAAAGCTGGATTCTTCCAATGTGCTCCATGTGAGACTGTCCTTGAGGTTGGTTTTGAATCTGGAGCTAGTGATGAATGCAACAACTCAGCTGATGTCAGGGGAAGCCCCTTTTTAGCATTAGAAAATTATACTGGTTGCCTACTTACAACTAGACCAAGTTCAAATATTGGTGTAAAAATTTGTCACCAGGAAAATAGAGTGTCTTTTCCCTTATCAATATGTCTGGAAACTTAAAATCAGTTGACAAGATACTTTTGGCAGTTCCAAAGAGCCCAAGGTCCATTCACATCATGATAGACTTTATTATACTAGCACCTCTCTGACCATATTTTTTTCATTTCAATTTGTACTTCATCATCATTGCTCTCATTGTGCACATGTAAGCATGTTTGCGTACATGCAACTTTTTCTCTTGGCTTATGAATGTAAGAGGAGCCTGGTGGAGAAACGCTTTAAATACTGAGGTTGCAACTAGTAAGGCACTGGGTATATTACAAGGTTTCTGGGGAAGATTTCAATTTGGAAATTTCAGGCTTGGAACTTTTATAGGTTCAGTCTCTGTTCTTCCATGACCATGTACAGATGGTGTGCACTCTTTTGCATTTTCTCCATGTCAATACACTCTTTGACCTGGCTTGCCTCCTATTAGAAATTCAAATTATTTTTTCCTAACTCTCTTTTCTCCTCCTCTCTCTCCATCTGTTCAGAGGAAAAAATTAAGAGACACACAGAGTGCAGAAAAATGTTCTGTGCTATTTTTACACTCTTTTCTACAAATTCTGAAGTCACAGAAGCACAGCTGAAAGATCTTTCTTAGTCAATTAACAGAAAAAGAAGTGCAAAACGAAAACAAAGCAAATAACACCCTGGAAGAATGGTGAAATATGCTTTTCAAGGACACAGGAGCAAGACATTCAAAGCATTAGGCTTGCAGCCTTGGTAAAAGTGTTAGATTAGGGGGTCAATGAATGTTGATTCCTGTGCCAATTCAAGCCCCATGCTACCAGCCTTTCCTCCTCCCCCCCTCCTCCTCCTCCCAGCACTTCCTAAAATACCACAGAAGAATGGGAGGAGACACACATGCACAAAAATAACAGTGAAGCCAGGCATACAGTGCTGGGATGTTCCTAGATCCAGTTTAGAGTCCAGATATATAGATGACTGCTTTTGCCGAAGGTATTTTGCCCAGCTTAGGCTGCTGTGGTAGCTGCTATTCCTAAAACACTAACTTCTGGCTAAGGTGATGTATGTGTTTGGACTACTGAAGCATATTCTAAGCAGGACTGGATTTTGAAGATATTCTAGGAATTACAGTTGGTTTAAAATGTGCCATTCAAGCACATTCCAGAGATCCAGAAAGTTATATATTCCTAACAAGAAGGTACACTGGCTTCCAGTTTGTTTTGAGCACACTCCAAAGTGCTGGTTATGACCTCTAATGTTCTGTAAAGTCTGTAAAATAGTAACTGACAGTTGTGAAGCAATATACTATGCTTAAATCTCATTAAGTCAACCAACGTTTGCTGGTTCAAAAGAATTACAGGAAGAAAACCATTACTTTAAAACTGCCGAAATACAATGGGGGTACAGGAGAGAAACACATGTGGCATGTTTTCTTGTTCCCCTTATAATTCACTTTAAGAAGACTAACATATGAAAAATTGGCTTTCAATGTTACCTATTTTCTTACGGATTATAAACTGAAAATGGGATTGTTCATATATGGACCTAGTAGAATTTAGTTTTGAACATAATCTTCTCTATCTATCTTACCTAGACAGACATGAATTAGAGTGCATAGATTACCACCTTATCAGTCTGTAACCATTTAGAAATTCATTACTCACATCCAGAAAGAAATACTTACAAAGAAGGATCTTGGACAAGGTCTTTAAGGTTTATTCCACTACGATCCTCTGCAAGATTCCTGAAGCAACTGTCACTCACTGAGAGAGAGAGAGAGAGAGAGAAAGAAAGAAAGAGAGAGATGAAGACATGGGAAGCATGTACTGTATCTGTGAACGGTTGTTAGTTTTCTAGTAATTTTTAATTAAAAACCCCCAAACCTCAGATACTGCAATGAAAGGACATAAATGAACTTGCAGCTAGGTTGACTTAAAAAACACAGTGTCAAATCAAGTTACTAAATATTAAAGATGAATAAATGCCTCACCCAAGAATAAAAATTGAGTTCTGAATACTCCATCACATGACCTAATAAATCAAACAGGAAAGAAGACACTAAGGGCTAAACTAAACACAACACTAATGGAAGAACATGGCAGAAGGCAATATTTCCTTATCCCCCCTGCAGTCCCCAGTGCCAAAACCCTTGGTGTTTCTTTAGTCCCTGTGCCCCTATGTATGAGATGACAGTGGGAGGAAGAATCCAGAAAGAATGCACCCACCCGACTGTTTCCCTTTCCTTAACTGAATAGTTATGAATATTAATTTGCTTCCCCTTCAACACACACTTTTCAACAGAACATTGCTCAGGGAAGCTAACAATAAAAAAGATATTCAGTAAGAACACAATGTTAGTGCCATGCTAGATTAAACTATGGTCCATATAGCATTCTGTTAGCATTCTGTTCATACAGTGACGTTTCAGCTGCCCACATGAAACTTACAAGCAGGAGTTGAGTGCACTTGCACCTTCCAACTCATGTACCCCAGCAACTTCTGTACAAAGGCATACTGACCATAATACTAGAGGCAGCATACAGTCATCACTACTAGTAGCCATTGATAGTCCTTTCCTCCATAAATATAATGCCCCAATACATTTGGCATGGTGGCTTGGAGTGCAGGCCCAGGAGATCTGAGTTCTAGTCTCCACTCAAGCAGGACTCTGGCCATGACCCAAATTGGTTGTGAACCAAGTCAAATATCCCCATAAAGGTTCATGTAAATAAGGTTAATCCGTTCTGCAACTATTTTTTTATTCACAAAAATGTGAAGCAAAGTGACAAAGAACAACAAAGATCGCAGCCATCTCCCCCCTTCAGCAATTGTGTGTGTGTGGGGGGGAGACAAGTGCAATTGTGGGCATGCTGGGGGGGAGGTGGGCGCACTTGGGCAGGGAACATGGCCACAATCACGGCCATCTCCCCCCCCAGCACAAACGTGGCACCTCCCCCCCCCCCACCAGCATGATCGCGATCACGATCGTCACCCGATGCAGAGTTCATGACCTGGGGCAAAATTTTTATGCAATTTCTGTTCACGACCCTTCTGTCAGCTCCAGCTGGTGGCCCAGCTATATGCCTATCTGAGATAGCCTCGTTTAAAAAAAATCTATGCTTTGGTATAGCATTGCAATGCACTCTACATGGGACTTCCTTTGAGGACTGTTCAGAAATGACAGCTTGTGCATAATGCAGCTGCCACAGTACTAACAGTCAGTTCAAGAAGGTCTGAATGAGTAACACCACTTGTTTTGGTTGACGGACATGGTTGACTGACCAAAAGCAGAAGATAACCATTAGTGGGGAATCATTGGGATGGCGGCCAGTGACAAGCGGGGTCCCCCAGGGCTCTGTCCTGGGGCCGATCCTGTTTAATCTTTTCATTAATGACAAGAAGGAGTGAAGAGTCTGCTGATCAAATTCACAGATGACACTAAAACTGGAGCAGTGGTCACAACTGAGGAGCAGGTACTCCAGATCCAAAAGGATCTGGACAGACTATGGAAGTGGGCAGGAGACAACAGGATGGCGTTCAATGTGGATAAGTGCAAGGACTTGCACTTGGGGCATAAGAATAGCTGTCATAAGTACAGGTTAGGTGACAAGTGGCAGGAAAGCAGCACTTGTGAAAGGGACCTCGGGGTACTGGTTGACTACAGGCTAAACATGA